ATACCAAATGGGGGAATTGGGTAGCTCATAAGAGATACTTAAGCAAGAAAAGAGGTAATTATTTCTCAGTCAAAATGCAGAGATAGGATTTTCTACTTAAAGCATCTAAGTAGTTTTCAAGACAATACTGAGAAAGTAATAATTTTCAAAATAGCAAAGTACTTCTAAAGCAGTTAGATTTTTTCCTGAGAGAGAGAAAAACATTTGCTTGATCCTTTGAAATTTAAGGAGACCTACCAATCTAGGAATCAAGATAATAAAATCTGCATTTAGTATAATAAATAAAAACACCCTGCTTCATATTAAAAAAAATACTAAGTTGAATGAATAGAAGAAAAACTTTTTTTTCAAGGGTCAAATACACTTTAATACATCTAAGATAAACTACTAAAATATACATAGACCTCAGAGTGTAATTTTGACTCTTACTGTAAGCACAGAAGAGACTGCCTGCCATATAGCAGGCCACCTGGATCAATGTGAGCACTCCTGAGACAATCAGCAGTTAACTGCAGCATAAAATTCATAAGCCTTTGACCCTGATAAAGCCTTCAGGATGAAATATTTAAGTAGAATTGTTTATGGTATTTAACTACACTCCAGTGCCTTTTTCTCCATGAATGCTTGGGGATTTTTTTTTTCCCAGTAGGGCTAGCACTGATCCATTTGAGTTGTTTTGCAGAACAAGTGCTAAGAAAACATACAAGAAACCCATAGACATTAAAAACTGCCCCATTATAATTTTGGAAAGTAAAATGTTACAAGGACAAAATATAAAGGCAAAAAAGATCCTTAAATCAAGGTGCTAAAATCATACCTAGCTTTCTAAATACATGGTCTTTTTGTCTGAGCCTTATATGGCTCAAAAAATGCTGAGCTTCAAAAAATTCCCATTTTTGTCTGCTTCCGACTCACTTCAGGATGTCCTTTTGAATACTTTGGCCCAACTGTTAATGTGACTTTCTGGTTCCAAGATGACAGTCACAAATATGTGGATAACTACATCTATATATTCATCTTACCACTATAAAATAAACTAGAAAATTTATAGAATGGTTTTGTACATACCAATACACCGTTTTCACATGTCCAAGCACTTGGATTAGATTCAAGTTTACTGACACAAACTATAAATCTGTCTGGAAACACACGTAGCTCTATACAAAAATAATTGAAAAGAAGATTACAAAAATTATAACCATATTCAAAACCACACATAATCACAACATGTATTTTGTTAGCAAACAAAATAATTTATTTTTTAAATTGCACACTAACTCACTTCATGCACTCCACTAGTTTCTTACCTACTTTCTTCAACATCCCATCCCTCCTTTTGTTTTGCTTTTTTAAACCATTCAAAAAAAAAAAAAAAAAAAATCAATAAGTCAGAGTAAGTTTAGTTCCCAAGAGGATAGTCATGGCTGCAAATTAGTCCACCTGGCACCCCTGGACAAAAATACCAGACAGAACCAACAGACAAACCACTTAACGATGATTTCTTTTGTGCTGTTCTGGTGATGAGTCTTTTCATCACAAAAGCTGTAAATTATGTTTGTAAAACAGCACAACATATTCAGTCAGGACTTGGCATAAAAACTCAGCATAAGGCTAAATGTTTCAAACTGACTACAGTGATTTTTGAAGTCATTAAACAAATTGGTTAACTACTGCCGAATTACGTATTTTACTCAAGATCACACGGTTTGTTATGAACACAACCAAGTTTCTATTTACAAAGGATTAAAAATTGAAGGGTTCTCAGATTAGAATAGACCAGACAAAGCTTTATTCAGTACCTAGCAATGCTATGAAAAGAGCATAGCTGGATATTTTGTTATTTTACATATCAGATTATTTCCAGATTACTATCTTCGTATTTTCAGCTCAGATTTTTTGTTGTTGGTTTTTCTTTTGGTTTGGTTTTATAAAAAGAGAGTTACTAATTTTTAAAGTTTGTTATACTTCAAAAGCAAGCCGTAACACCCTATTTTCTGGGACAAGACAGAGGCAAGGCATGCAGAAAAAACACGAGGTTGACCTCATAGATTTTTTTGGTAGAATATCTCCTCACAATGAATTGAGTATAGGCATGATATGCATAATTTGCTAGTGACAATCAGGTCATCCATATGGGTTACTGCCTCTCTACAAGGTACTGCTTCTTCACTAACAGCGTATCTCCGTTAGTATCCAACAAACCCCTCTGAGCGCATACCAGCAGTGACTCTTCTAGAGTCATTACAATGAAAGATGGGGATGCTGAAACAGATTACCTTGCATTTGCCATCGCTTGAAAAAGCATGACCTCAGATGCATCTCTATTGGCACAATAGCTTGTTAAGCTACTGTAACTTGATAATGAATATGAGCCTTTCATAATCCTTTCAGAAATATCAACTCTGTTAGCAAAACTGTGTCCAAGGAAGTATTCATGCTGTGCCTTATGTCCAGGGTATTCTTTCTCTGCTTGTACCCTCGAGACCTGAAAAGCCACGTGCAAAGGCCTAGTACAATGGCTTTCAAACTGCGAGCAGCCTACGGACATCTTCCAAATGGGCTACAAAAGAAAAGCTGGACAACTGTTGCATGGACTGAATTTGTTATGTTCCAATAAAAAGCCTCTTAGGTAAGTTTACTTTAGATATTGAGTGAGCATCACCGATTAAAGTATGCAAGATTCTTCTTCCATTAGGCTCAACATCTGGTTTTTGTTTGTGAAGTACTAGGTGTGTCTTACAGAAAGGAAACATCGGTGCCAAATTATTTAATTTTTCAGGATATGTGCTTATTTTGTTATTTATTGGGAGTGAAACCTAGCAAAATGAAGTTCCTTTCTTGTTAGGAACTTCATGTGGAAGCAAAGTTTTGACTGCAGCATCAGAGCCTCTCTTTTTGGCAGCGCTAGTAGGGCAAGTTCATTCCAGTTAGACCTTTTTATTGTTACATTTTATCACAATCTCTCTTGCTGGCTAACAAAGTGAAAGTATCTTTAAGTATTCATTGATGCTTAAAAAGAGTTCAAATTTAATACTCAGAAACCAATGTTGAGATACCAATGCAGACACTCTGCTATTCTAAACTATTCTTCCAGGAGGCTGGAAGAACAAGTTTGATGAAATATTTAAAATCAAGGCTCCAATCTCTTCAACTAATATGGACTTAGAAAACGACTAGTTGGCATTTGAAGAGATTTAAACGTTTATTAATATAACGAATTCCTACAAAAATAATTCTTTAAAAATATTAATTCAAGTATTCAATATTTTTAAGGGCACCTAATTGATTTACTTTGCTTTTTTTTAATACGAAAAGCTCAACACAAAGGGCAGCAATCGTTATAGCTCCTTTTTATTGCTGTTGGCGGGACAGGATTGATATCACTTCCTTACAGAGCATCCTGGCTTGAGAAAACATGAAAAAAAGATCTGGTCCAATGACATCACCTATGTAAAGATTTTATAGCACTGAGGTGAATGAAAGCCTTTTCTTGCATACACTTGTACCATACCGTTGATGTCACAAGACACTCGAGCAATAATGAAGTGATTCATACTGCAACCTCTGGTTGATTCACCCTGCAGAGACTCAGTAAAAATGCTGAGTCTCATCATACTTACAGAATTTGGTGTGGCTTAGCTGATTACCCTGGGGCAAGGCACACACAAATTTAAAATTAAGTTTAAAAAAAATTCATCATATGTTAAGAAACACTTCTCTTTTTTTTAGGAAACATCCTCTAGGAAAAAAAAAAAACAAAACCACGCTCTGAAAGAAATTTTGATTAAGTAGACCAAAATCTGACAAAGTCTTAGTTTATGTTCCCTTTTTTCCTCTCCCAGAAATGCAAAATTCTAAGTAACACTATAAGAAACTGATTTCTTACTTTTTTTTCCTACAGCACAGCGGAGATTAACCCATCTCTTCATAAAGTAGGCAGTAATGTGAAAACTGTTGGCTGCAACATAAAACAAAGGGATAATAATAAGTGTAAGGGTATCTTGAGCATTCTGGTCTCAAACTGTTGCACATCTGCGAAGATAGGATTGAGAGAAAGCAGCAGCAGCAGCTCAAGAATACAAAAGAAAATGTAACTTTAAAGGAATATTTTTAAAAAGAAACTGCTCAAACTGAAGTCTTAAGAAATTAGTATCTGAAACAGGGGAAAAATCTAAACAAATTACTAACCACCAAGTTCTGGTATCCAACCACAGAAATAAGTTTAAATCAATTAATTGATCAGAGATGTCATCCGCTTAATAGCCTAGAGTCACGGTCACTAGTCCAATAGGCTAGAGTTCTATTCACTAAAATGTTTTCATACACATTCTACAAGAACACTACAGATGACCATTTACCTAACTGCCTTCTAGAGAAAGGTGACATACTCAAAGCTGATAGAAAAAAAGCTGGCTATAAAAAAACCCCACAAACAAACATGAAAGGTCTTAATTATCTACAATTCCACTGAATTAAGTGAGAAATGCATACATTTAAACTCCTCAGTATCTACAAGTAGACAGAGCTAGCCTGGCTGACCCAGCAGATACCTGTAACATACACAGAGGCTTCTTCAGTTTCTATTCCTGAGAACGATAGAAATCCTTGTGCACCAGAAGCATAAGAAAAGGACAGAAAGGATTATATTACAGCGAAGAGACTATTAGACTACAGCTAAGGAAATCAGCTTTTACTTTTCTTCTAGTTAAATTCCCAAATGACCCTGAGTAAATCAGTTAGGACTTGATTCATAAAGGTATTTAGCAACCTAACTCCCACTGAAATTGAAAGAAGTTAGCATCTGTGACTCCTCCTCCATAGTCTCTCTCATGTACATGTCACTAAAAGAGGGTTAATGGTATTTCCCATAACTCTGATGGGTTTTGCAAGACTTAAATTATTGCTGCTTTCAAGACAGTCAGATACCCTAGGTGCAATTACCACAGAAAAGTTAGAAAATTAAGTGCTACTGCTGTTCTTCTAATCTAACCATTTAAAAAGCAGTAAGGAAAGCTTGCTTGTTCCAGTCTCCATCTCTACTGAGCAAGTGCCATGACATGCCTCATTTCTAAGTATAAGCCCCAAAATGCATGTCCTCTCCTGCACAGTCTACAACTCTCCTACTTGTACAAGATCTCCTGGAGCTCACCATCAAGTGCTGTTCAGCATCCCCTCTCATTAAGAACTATAGTTATTGATCACAATCAATCCCTTTGAAATTTATCAGCCATCTTTTTTCCTTCCCCTCAGGAAGATACCTAAAATTTGACTTCCTTTTAGAGATCAAGTCAAGATGTGACAAGTTGAACCATCCCTTAAAAATGATGAGTGCTAGAGAAAAATTTGGATGTAATCCACCAGCTTTATTAACTGTATATTTACGAGCACAATTAAAGAAAATTACTTTTAGCTATTTCCAGTTTGGCATCCACAATTCTTTAACGTTGTTAGTAGGGTTAGCCAAATGAAAGAATTTGCCCTGTATATAAATAAGTTACTAGTGTGATAATAGAATCTTCCACTGTGACCTCCGTAATGCTGAAAAAGTACCATTCCTAAAAGTACAACTTTGCAAACAAATCTTCAAACAGAGAGTAAATATTAAAAGAGTCTTTCCACCTCCATTTGGCTGGGATATTCCACATGTATTTTTCTTGAGAGTGTGAATGAAATTAAAAAGTGTGAATCTTTTGCTTTTGACAGGGAAAAGCACAATGCTTCATTCCTGAAATTCTTTTATGAATCAGTGACATGTATATATGTTTATTTTTCTTGCTATCCTGGTATTCTCTGAGAGGTTAAGTGTTTCACCATATTTGATTGACTAATGGCCTGAACAAAGTTTCAAATTCCTCTTAAAGGCCCTTGATTCAGCTAGCTACTGTTCTCTGGAAGAGAACACCTACCTCAATCTAAAAATAAATAATTACGTAAGAGATCAAGACACCTCTACGCTATTTTTGCAGTGTCAGCTCAAGTCAAAGTCTTATAAAGCCTTCACAGGGAGTTGCACCTGAGCTAATAAGCTCAGCCCGGAGGGACTAACACTAGAAAATAATTTTAAGTTTCCGTGACTATTTACTACTTGACTTGGCTGAAAAAGCATGAACAGATGATTTGCTGTTACTTACTGCTAACTGTGAGAAAATTTTGAGATGCATTACATTCAAGATACCTGTATTTTGCAAGTATCACACAGCTACGCTCATCAAATGTTTTGAAACCCTCTTGTATGTGACATCTGATCTAATCCATAGTCAGCTGGAGTTTGCAAAACTTCCCTAGTTTTTAAGTTGCCAGAGTTACTGCGGAACTATAAAAACTGTGATATCCTCTTTCTGCTTCCTTCAAGAGAAATATATTATCCAATTAACAATTCTGCTTCATGAAATAAGAAACTAAAAAATATGCCCCACAAGAAAACCTTCTTATCCAACAACCTCATGCAACTTGCAGCTTTTTAAACTTTCTACACAGTTACTCAGCATGAGTCTAAGTCTGTTCTCAATTCCAGACTTGTCCACCATCAACGCTGTTTATATACTAGCATATACTAATGTTGGCTTTGGGCAAGCTGTGGATTGCTCCAGGGAAGACGGCCAGTGTATACTCAGCAAGGACCAAACGCTGCTGTTCGTGACATCTGGAAGGAGGGACCAACTGATATGTACCAAATGACCAATCACTAACTCCTTTTAAGCACACCATAGAAGTTTTAACCTCTAGCTGCATACAGTGTTTTGCAGCTGGTAACGTAGAGAGAAAGTTCACAGATCTTAGGCTCAGCAAACCCAGTTGGCCCAATCTTCAATTTCCTCTTCATCATGCAACATAGACAAAGCTCCATTTGTAGATTACCAACACAGAAGCAGAAATAAAATTGTTGTTAGTGATTTGGAGTTTTGTTTTTCTTACTTCCAAAACTGTGCACCTAAATCATCAGATCCAAGTTCCAAAGACAAACGAGAAAAAAACAACAACAAAAAAACCCCACCAAACAAAAAAAAACCAACCAAACAAAAAACCCCAAACCCAAAATGTGACTGAATAAAAGTGGTTCTAGAAAAGCCACAGTTCAGTTTCAGCTGAAATACGCACCAGTGAGTGCTGCCTTTTAAGGGAACGGTAATTTGCCCTGCTTGTTATATTTCATAGTCCCACGACACTGAGAGGAAGTATCAGACACTGACTCTTTACTGTAAGACTATCCAGCAACACTTGTTTTCCAAAGGAGTCACAGCCAAGCTGACTTGTGCTTCCAGAAGGCTGCCAAGAAGAGGCTGTGGTACAGCGTGGAGCAGTGGGAAGCCTTCTCCCACGGCTATTACGGACCATTCATCTGGGAGCCTGGGAAAATGCCTCTGAGCTGCTGAGTTATCTGGAGCAGCCTGGCAGGTGTTCGCTTCCCAGCGCAATCTGGCACCTGCATGGCTCTGTAACTAAATTCAGTCAAGTCTTCTCCAAAGCCACAGTACAAGCCTAAGAAGGCCAACTGCCCCCCAAACATTTCCATATCTGACAGGCACCTATTTCTCATTGCACAGTATTTTTATACCCTCTTTAAAAGAACACCTATTTTTCCTCCCAGCCTACACGTTTCACATTTCTGACAGGTTGTTCTGGATTAGGACTGCCTCTACATTTGGAAAGTAACAACAAAGTAAATCATTGCAACACACAGATATTAAAAAAAAAATAAGAGGATGAATTTCTTACATTACAATGTGAAAGTAAATACATAGGTGCATTAGACTTTCTGAAGCACTACACTGTACATTTAAAAAAAAATCTACATCTTGCTTATGCTAGATTAATTATTCCACACAGATTAAGCTATATTAGTAATACTGTTTACAGTATATAGAGCTTTTCATCTTCAAAGTGCTCTACAGACATATTATTACTTCTTTTTAGCAGTCCTATTTCTCCACTTAAAATTATTCACCACCAAATCCAAATTCCTGATTGTTTGTAAACAAAACAAAAAAGGAACATTTTATTCTGCACCTACTGTTAATCGTGCAGCTTTCCTTCCCCCCAAAAATGTTCATGTTCATAGCATGTGCTCCAGAGTAGGCTGCCATTTCTAGTTTAGAAGAGATTCAAAACCAAATGTTGGCATGTAAGTTTAAGTCCAAGTCTAGGATAGACCAGGGACAGCAGACGCAAGACAGCAGATACAAAAAGCTATCGAGACTTCCTGAGCCTTTTCTGGTGTTCAGAATGGGTACAGAATTTCTGTATCATCTCAGACATGCACGCACAAACAAAAAAATATCAACTTCGTAGTTAATGACAACAGCATCTTCACCTAGTGCAAATTTTTATACACCAAATAGTGGTTTCAGAACAACTTAAACAGCTCAGGATGGCACCCATTCTTTCCATCCATTCTGCCTTTAGTTCAAAGAATTTTAAAATCTTTTTTTTTAAATTTTCATTATTTCAAGTGATAGTCACAAGTAAGTACACAGGAAAATGTGTACCGATCAATGTAAAATAAAGCTCATAAACTTTAAAAAAAAAGTTTAATACCTATGAAAAAACATTCAGGCCATTAAATTTATATACATAAAGTATGGACTAAAAAAAAGAAGGAAAAAAAAAAACCAACACAAAACAAGACTTGGGTGCAGTATTGAGTGAGGGAGTGAGTATTGCTGCAGGGTCTGATCTTGCAAACTCTTATACCTGCAAATAAATTCAGTGATGTAATTTGCCTCTGTCTTTTTCCAGGGTGCCTTACAGTCAGCTTAAGCCAAAAGCAGATTACTGATTTTTTTTCTTCTTACTCTTTCACAATTTTATTAGTATTAGTGCTATTCTTCTATCTGCTAAATCTTCTGAACACAGGCCAGCTGCCAATACAAATAGGTGAGAGATCTGTCCCATCAAGGATGTGAGGACAAGATTTATTTCCTATCAGGGAACAGGGTCCCTGACTGGAAGAAAGACATT